GCATGTACAAGAGTTTCTTCCGGACCAAGGACAGGGCTAAGAAGTCTTCGAATGATGGCAGTGGTGACCACCAGTGGACAATTCTGCTCCTACGTGAGAATGTCTGGCGGAACATGGAACTTTGAGAGCTACAGGAAACACTGCTTTTGTCGCTTTTGTTTTTTAAGCTTTACAAAAGTGTAGAAGCAGAAAAAAAAAAACATAAAAAGCGAACATAATGCTATATATATATAATGTTACACTGATTATATATTTTAGACCTTTATATCTAAATTTATTTATTTTGCTTTTCTGAGACAGTGTCTCACTATATAGTCAGGGCTGGCTGTGTTAGTTACTTTTCTCTCGCTGGCCAAGGCAAAATCACCGACACCCAAAGTTATAGGGGAATGTTTTCTTTGGCTTACAGTTGGTAAAGGTTTCAGTCCATAACTGGCTGGCTCCAAGGCAGGGGTGAAACTCACAGAGGAGAAACAACATGGCACACACAAGGTAGCAAAGGCAACAAGGGAAACAATTCATGGCAAAGAGCAGCAAGAGACCTTCACAGTGTCTTTCTGCCCCTTTTATTTTATTCAGATTACCTAAGGTGTGTAGCACCCACCCCCTTCATCCTAGTGTCCTCCGGCCTAGCCCCACCATGAATCAGTCACACTCGAGATTCAACCACCTCCAAAATAGCCCGTGACCACGTGGGGCTCTGGGGAGACATCTAGACACAAATCATAACACTGGCCTTGAACTCGCTATGTACCTCAGGCTGGCCTCAAACTCACAGTGATCCTCCTATGTTAGTCTCCGAAGTGCTGAGATTACAGGTGTCACATTTGCCAACATTTGTTTCACACACACACAAAGAAGAAAGAAAATAGATGCTCAACCTCTCAGTAATCAGAGAAACAGAGTATTGCTGAGATACCCACATGTACCAAGAAACGAGGAAAAAGTCCATGCCTGAAATGCCTTGTGGGGATGAGGATGTGAGCAACTGGAATTCTTACCAACTGCTCTGGATACCACTGTCACATTATCTTTACAGCTGAGCATGCACATATTTCTAACCCCACAGCTTCATTTCCAGGTACTGTATTTACCCAAAGAGGAAGGCTTGACCATGTAAATGAAGGCAAGTTTGGGAATATTCAAAGATGCAGTTTTCATAACAGCAGAAAACTGGACCACAGAATCCTAGGCAGTAGGCATGGAATTATATGCTGCAGTGAAAAAGGAAGGCACAATTGCTACGTCCATCATGATGCTTGTATCTTAGTAACACAGGGCTGAGTGAAAAAAAACAAGTCCAATAAGATGGTGGACACACAGTATAATGTAATTTCTCAAAACTGAAAACTAAAGCTAGTCTAAACAGTCTGCTATGTAGCAGTGTCTACACAATATGATACAAAATATTTTAAATTATTGAAGAAACCATGAACCCAAAATACAACATACAGATTCCCCTGTGTTGGCGAAATTAGAGGTAGGAAGGGGGTTACACGTGTGTTGCTTCTTCCATGCAGAATGTTATGTTTTTATGATGAATAAGAGCTGTGCAACTGTTTGGATTCTTACGTTTTGTGACTTAGATGTATGTAACATTTTTACGAACCATAGATTACCTCATTTAAACACAGGCGATGGGCTGGGAGTATACAGTTCAAAGGTACAGCCAGTTCTTAGTATGCCCAAGGCCCTAGATTTAATCCCCAGTGGTAGAAAATAAATATTCATGAAAACATGCAGTGGCTTTTGCAGAGAGCCTTTGGTGGGAACTCAGTCTGGCCTGGCATTCCAAAGTCTTAAACCTACATGACTATTGACATATCATTGTTGAATTAATGATGCTTCTAATTTTCAAAATTTTTCCATTTTATAGGCATGAATATAGAGACTATTTTTCATGTTTCTATTTCTATAACAAGATACTGGAAACTAGGTAAGTTATAAAGAAAATAGGGTTTGGGTTTTTTTTGTTTTTGTTGTTTTTTGAGTTTTGTTTTGTTTTGTTCTGTTTTTTGGGACTACTGGGGATTAGACCCAGGACCTTCACACTGAGCTACATTGCCAGCTCTATATTTTTTATTTTGAGCCGTGGTCTTGTTAAGTTACCTAGGCTGGGCTCAAACTTGTGATTCTCCTATTGCAGCCTCCCAGAGTGCAAGGGTAACCTTGCTTTCTAAACACCTGTTTTGGAGATAAGGAATCCAGACCACTGAGAGTGAGAAGTCCTCCCTTATCTATTCCTGAGAGCTCCACCCCCTGCCCCAAGGCCCTCAACTCATTTCCTGTCCCTGCCCCTCACTGCTCTGTGATTCCCAAGTGAGCCGGCCCTGGTGTCACTCTGAGGGAGAAGTCCTCCCCTGACCTGGCTGGAACTCCACCATGGTGAGAGAGCTTTGCTTCTAGGTTCTACTCAGGACCTACCTACCTCACGGCTGCACCCTTGGGCCGGCCTTCCTGGGAGCACGGAACTCTTCTCACCGGAGCCCACAAGGCAGGGGCCCTCTGGCCTGGGGAGCCAGGGGGAGGCGGGAGGCCAACGATAGTCAGGTGGGAGTGGGGAAAGCAACCGCTTCCCAGAGGTGTAGAAGTGAGGGAGGGAGACACACACTGGGGCCTCTGCCCCCTCTGAAACAAACGTCAGAGACCTAGAGGTGAGTATGGTAAGGGCTGGAATCATCTGTCCCTTTTCACTGATGAGGTTCCTGTAAGTGGTCCAGGGGAAAAGGGCTCTGGGGGTGCACAGACGAAAGGACCCATCTTAGTCAAAATTGGGGCCCTCAAACCTTTATGACTCACAAGAGGGTTAAACTGAGGTCCAGAAGTCCACTGCAAGAAGCAAGGTGGCCAGTCGGAGTTTCACACACAGGCATTACCTTCTTGCGGTTCCTGGCTGGCTGCTCCAAGCCCACGGGCTCCCTGCCACCTGTTTATAGGTGAGCCTGGAAGGAACAAAGCCTCTCCACCTGCACCTCGTTGCTTCCATGCCTTCCCTCACTCCAATCCCCGTGTCCTCCAGCTCAGGTGGCCAAAATGAATTACCGGTGAGGTTGGAGCAGCACCGCTTTTCCCTGGCTCTGGGCCCCACTCTCAGGACTTGCATCAGAAACACCAGTGAGCAGCATGAGTCACCCAGGGATCCAGGAGGATCGGCAGGGCTGAAGTCGGAGTAGGAGCCTGGGCAAGGGTGGGACCAGGCACCAGGAAGCTTTGCCTAGTTCATGATGGGGACAGGTAGCTTTTCTCTGGGCTCTCCACAGTCCCTGAGGCCAGAGGGAACTGATCAAGGGCCCCGGCCTATGGTCACACCCCTGGATACAGTAACCAGGGCACTCACCTGGCTCCCCATAGGCCAAGCTTTGGCTCCTGGCCTTCAGATCTGCCTGCTGCTCCTCCCCTCCCATGGACCTGGCCCAGGAAGCTGCCTCTACCTCCAAGCAGGTCAGCTGGGTCCCAGAGGAGAGACAGCAGGTAAGTCCACAAGCCCTGGGCCCTGGCTGCTTTATCTGTCTGCCCTCTGTCACACATGGCATCCTGTACAGTGTGCAGCTTGGAAGTGTGAAGTCGGACATGGTCTGGACGGCTGGAGCCAGCCACCAAGGTGCAGCAACCCCTTGACTGGGCCCAGTAGCCTTGTGCAGCAGCCTGACGCAGGGCAGAAGGCATACAGCTCCCCACATCCTGGGAATATGGGGCAGGGGTAGCCACAGTGGCCCTGTGCCAGTGCAGCCTAGTTCAGCTACCTTTGTGTGAACCTGGCCAGGACAGAGGGGGAAGTTCAGGAGGGCCAAGCAGACATCTCCCCCACTATTCACCCGCTGAATTCTCCAACAAAAATGCACTGGCCAGGATGGGGTGCCAGCTTGTGACACTGGGTCACCTCAGTCCTTGTGGCTACTCTGTCTCCTGCCCTTCCCCATCTGAGGAACCCTTGTCTGTGCCTGACCTGTGGAAGCCCCCACTCTGCTAGGGTCCCCAGACTTCTAGATGTCCTGAACCTGTGGGTCCCCAGACCCTACTGGCCCCTCAGTAAATAGCCCTCTCCTTTCAGGAAACTCCCCAATCCATCTGGCCAGGAGAATTCAATTTTGCTCTAGGAATGTCTTCCAGGATAACGGAGACCCCTGCCCCTAGGCTAATGTCACTTTGCAAAGCAATAGCTGAGGATAGGGTTCCTTTGGCTTTAGAAGAGGGACAAGGCTGAGGTCAAGACTTCCTGGGGTCCAAGAGTGTCCCAGGAAGACAGGGATATCTCAGACAAGGGGATGAGGCTGAGCAGTGGGCAGTCCTGAGCATAGGGAAGGTAGAGAAGGCACGGGCCTTGCTTGAGGGTCAGGTTGGCTGAAAGGGGCTCTCTGAAGTGACTATTCAAAAATCTTACTGACCATCTTTACAGTTACTTTGGTCCCAGGCTCTAAGGATTTGTGTGTGTGTGGTGGTGGTGGTAGTGGTGGTGGTAGTGGGGGTACTGGGGATTGGACCAGGGCCTTTGCACTGAGCGACGTCCTCAGCCCTTGTTTATTTTTTATTTTGAAACATGGTCTAAGTTGCCCAGGCAGGGATTGAACTAGTGATCCTCCCAGAGTGCCTGGATTGCAGAAATGTGCCACCATGCCTGCTAAGTTAAGGAATTTTCTAACTTGTCCCTCTCCCCTCAAGACTGGTCAGTCCCTGATTTAAAAGCTTCCTGCCTCGATGCAGGAAACATTCTCACATTCTTGACTTCCTGTGGGGCAGGGATGGCCCAGTCCTCCTCAGAGTGGAGTGGCCTGGAGGAGGTCCCTGAGGCCAGCACAGCCAGTTCCTTCTGCTTCTCTGCTTTCTGTTCCCCTCCTGCCACTGAACTCAGGTGGACCCTCCCTGATGGCAGAAGGTGATGTTAGCAAGATAACACCACTCTGTCACAATTCAGAATGGGGCAGATGGATGAAACTGCCAGCCTCATGCAGGGAGCTAAAGGCCAGAGATAAAAATCTGTACCTCCCACAGCCACAACTTACCTTTTCCACTTTGTCCAGCCTTTTTTCTGCTCTGGGCCTCTGTGGGTTCATCTGTAAGAGGAAGTAGGTTATTGTGATATAAACTAAGAATAGTGTGTTAGGGCAGGAGGCTAGAAGGGACTCAGGACTGTCTGTTCCCCTCGGAGGGGAGGCTCTGGGCCCTCTGCCTGCTGGAATTCTCTCTGCTGCCTGCCCACTTTGGGATCTGGCCAGTCACCTCTGGAAGCTGCCATTCCCTCCTCTACCAAGTGCAGCTATTAATCAAACCGCTTCTCCTACGGTTGTTTGGGGGTTTAAATGAGGTAGTACTGAGAGCACAACACTGGGCATATAACTACTGAATAAATTATTATCATTGAACTTAAGCCTCTTGATGACAGGGATGACATCATTGTCATTTATAATCCTCACAATCTCTAGTACAGTGGCTGGCACCAGGAGGCGCTTAATGTGCATTTGATGAATGAAAGAAAGGGAAGATGAATGCACAAAGGAAAGGTCAAGCCCCATGATCTTCAGAGAAGCGTGAAAGCCAGGTTACGGGATGGGACTTAGCATACACAGGTGGGTTATGCACCTTTGGCCCGGTGGGGCTGTTAGTTCCCTTACATAGCCACTATCACATGGCGGCCACATCACTGGCCTAGGGGCAGCCTGTGGTCAGGAGAGCTGGGCTTGACTTCTGACCCTGTTCTTAACCCTGGCTTCCTGGTCCTCAGCTCTTATCTGTGATGTGGAGTGATCCGTGCTAAGGTTGGTTGTGAGGGTGCCAGTGCAGCTGCCACTTGGGGATCCTCTTAGGGTGGCCTTCAACCCCAGGCTTCCACCCACAGCTCAGGCTCCCAGGGGGCTTCCTGTTGGTGCCCCCAGGGGAAGAGGAAGAGAGTAGGTTGGGCTCAAGGTCTGGTGACTGGCAGGCAACTTTGCAGAGCATGTTACAAGCCTCAGATGCTTCCACGGGCAGCCCAGGCACCAGCACGGAGACCATCTGGAGCCCATCTTGCCTACTCCATGGAGTGTTTCCAGCTCTGAGTGCCAACTGCTTTCCTTCCCCCTCTTTGGGTCCCTGCATCCTGCATCTACCCTCTTGCGGCTTGGCTCCTTGCCTTCTTCTCATCTCACTGTGTGCCTTGTCCTGGGTGGTTGGAGCCATTAAATTAGGCATGACCACATCCTGTAGAGTATGCTTTGTCTGTGACAAGGCAAAGCGGACCATCAACATTCTCTGCCCAGCGTTTCTTCCCTTTTTAACTGAGCATGGTGGTGCACGTCTGTCATCTCAGCCCTTGGGAGGCTGAGGCAAGAGAATTGTGAGTTTGAGGCCAGCCTGGGCTACAGAGTCAGCTCAAGGCCAGCCTCGGCGACATAATGAGACAGTGTCTAAAAAATAAAGAAATAAAAATAAAACTACAGCCTAGGGAAGGGGTGGGATTTCCATGGGTAACTGAGTGGTGGTGGAAATGGCTGTACCCTGGCTGGTGGGAGCCAGACCGATGACTGTCAGGTCCTGAGAAAGCCAGAGATGATGCAGCTGCCACTGCCTTACCACTGTCACTACCTAGAGACACTTTCGGTCAACATCCCTGACCCCCATCTGCTTGAGGGCCACCTAGGGCTGGACGCGCCCATTAGAGCGTTAGGGTCTCCAGTATTCTGGCTGTCACCAGCCTGCTCATCTTTCAAGCCAACCAAGCCGGAGCCATGCGCATTTGTTTATAGAAATCTCCGCTCAGAAAGTAAGGGGAAGGAATGGAGGAGACAAATGAAAAGGAGAAGGAAAAAAGGAGAAAAAAGAGTGGAGCCTGTAAGACGGATGAAGTGGATCCCAGACTGGAGAAATGAAGTTGTACAGAGCTGGGCAGGGGGGCACTGTTCTCCTCGCTGCCAACGCCAGGAGACCCTCAGCATCACCCAAGGCAGCACCCCATTTGACTGAGGACCCTGCTGGTCAGGGAACCCACTTCCTGACTCAGCTTCTTATAGTGTAGGACATTCAGGTACCAAGAAGGCTCCCTGGGCCAAGGGCCAAGAGTGCAAGACAGCTCTGCAGAGTCAGGCCTGGAAATCTTCGAGACAAACTCAGGACACAGGTGAACCCCTGACAACCCTGTAACCCGAGTCAAAAGCAGCGACAACCTCAAACTCACCATTGGTTACTGACATCCAGCTGGGCTCTGGGGTTCAAGTTCAGGTTAAGCTGACCTTGGCAAGAACGTGGAGCCTTCCAGGTGTTTATTACACACATCCTGGCCCACCAGTGGAGAGGCCTAATTGAAACTGGCCTTGCTGGGGTGGGGTTCTGTTTTAAGATGCCCTGCTCTGTGCCATGCCTTCCTTTGTCTGGAAGAAGGACAGAGAACATGCGCATAAAAGGAACCTTTCCTGAAGGTCCACACCAACTTCCCCATCCGGGACATCAATCATGACCCCTGAACCCTGGCAGGACTGCTACTGAGGGGAGAAAGTGGGTCACAAAGAAGAGACAGGGGGCTCTGGCACCCACCTCCCCCCACCCAACAGAAACACTGGAGCCACATGCAAACCCATGGGAACAGTTTGGGCTTTTTATAATCTTTATTTGTTAACAGTTCGGGCTATTTTTTTTTCCTTGCTGCAAGAGATGCCAATGTTTCATGAAAAAGTTGTGAAAAACACAGATCTATTTTGGGGTGATCAGCCTCCTCAAAGCTTTGTACTCTCATCTGTGTGGGGTTCAGGGATGGGGGCAGCCCTACTCAGGTCTGCAGCTTGTTGGAAGCCAAGGATTCTTGGGCCTAGCAGCACTGGCTGCAGGTTACATGTCTGCCCCTTTCTTGTGTCTTCTCTGTTTATAACAGGGCAGAAAGCACCATCTAGCCTCTTTCTGCTGCAGACCCACCTGATGGTGGCTTTGGGAATTGTACTGCGAAGTTCAGCTCCCAGGTGACATGGGCTGGATCCACACCGTGGCTAAGGCTCATGCATTATCTTGGTATGCCTTGTGTGGTGGCATTAATGATGGTACCTGCAGCTTTTTAAAGACACAAGCCTAAGGCTGGAGATTTAGCTCAGTGATGCCACTGCCTGCCTCACAAGCACAAGGTCCCAAGTTCAATCCCCGGTACCAAAAAAATAAATAAAATAAAAAATAAAAGCACAAGCCAACATGAGCTCACATTTCCCTGCCGAATGAAGAACCACTTCAGAGCTGGAGAGCATGTTTGTTAAGGCCTGGGCCAGCCCTGGCTTCTCAGGAGACAGGCCAGGCCAGAGAGGCTGGGGAGAGAGCAAGGGTCCGCAGGTCCTCTGCCATCAGGGACTGGCCATAGCCTGGCCAGACCAGACTATGAGTGGACAGTGTGGCTGCCAGTCTGCTGTAAGGGGCTGGTGGCCTTGACCTGTCACTCATGTTCCCTGGTCTATCTCCTCTGGCCTCACCTTCAGATGGGATCTTCCTAGCTGACCCAGGATCCACCCCATAACCTCACACCAGGCCCTCTGTGCTTTCTGCTGTCCACGTGGGTACCAGATAGCAGGGGCATAAATTGGGATGGGACCCACCCGGGGCAGGGAACACAGGCCTGTGAGGGGCAGCATTGCAGAAGGGCAGGAAGAGTTACAGGGATTCAGTGCTGGAAGGGCACAATATGAAGGCCATCCAGCCATCTTGTCTTCAGGCACATGACATCGTTATCCCCGGTAGGGGAACAGTTTCAGGTTGGTACCCCCAAGAAGAACAATAGCTGCTCCTCTGCGTTTTCTGTTTCTTTTCACTCTTAGGGGCTTCCTCTTCTCCTGGCTTTCCCCTGCCCTGTCACCACCCTGCCCCGGGGGCAGGTCCGTCATCACAGGGTCAGCCATTCCCTGTTAACGACACAGTACTAACTGCTTCCAGAGCTGTCCAGCTGGCCTCTCCAAGACCTTCTGGGTCATTCCCCATCTATCTTGAAATTCTGGATTTTCCTCTGGCTGAACCAGACCCCAGACAGCGACTGACCATTTAAGGAAACTGAAGGTCGGGATGACTGCAGAATTAGATTCTCTCTGTCTCTCACCTGGTGTCTGGTGCCGGCTCCCTTCCTCCAGAATGCTTGCTCATTCATTTCCAGCCTTCAGTGGGTATTTTGCTGGGTCCAGTTTGGGTTCCAGGTGCTGCTCCAATAGAAAGGACCAACCAATGGAGCCCAGGCCTTCTGTGCTAGGCACCTACATAGGATGTCAGTGCTGGAATGAGCGTGCAGGGTCACCGAAACTGACCCCTGTCCATGAGAAAATAAACCCAGAGGGGAAAGGAACTTGTCCAACATCACATAGCTCCATGGAGGTAGAATCCTAGCCTCCTGATGACAACTGTCTGCTTTCTCCCTAATGACCTACCAGTTCAGATTTGCCTGTGATGATGAAACAGGGGCCCACTTTCTGTCATCCCTGACTCACTGGGTGGTCTCTGTTGGCCCCCAGGCTGGGGTCTGATCCCTCTGAGCTTGGACAGCAGAAGCTGCATAAGCCACACTCTTATCCTGAACAGAGAGTTACGTGGTAGAGTTTGTGGTTGTTCTGAAACTAACCTCGGAAGCACACTGGTGGCTCCCAGCTGCAGCAAACGAGAAGAGAGGGCTGGTGTGCACATGTGACTGGACAGAGGAGGAGGCAGAGAGTCCAGGAGGCTTTCTGGGAAAATTTCCCACCCCTGCCAGCCTTGAGAAGTAACCTGAGCCAGGAAAGCAGACTCCCAGCTGGAGTGGGCGGGCCCAGGAGAGGGGGTGGAGGCTGTGACAGCACTGCTGCTGCTGCTGCTCTGCTGTGAGCTGGGGGAGAGGGACTACTGACAACGTCTTACCTGGGGGGAAAGCCCAGCCTCTGGTATGGCTACTTCCCAGGATCTGGCATGGAGGGGCTGGACAAGGGTGAAACAGTGCAGCGTGCTGGCGGGACCTGGGCTTGAAGCTCACATGAAGCTGGCTTGGAACAGCTGGAGGATGGGACTGAGGTCTGAGGAGAAGGCCTGACGTGTGTCGAGAATCCTTCACGAAAAGCCGGGAGTTGCTGCTGGGAGTGAGGGACCCCTGGGTGCTTGCAACCTGCCCCAAGGGAAGGGTTTGCAGGGGTCCCAGACACCAGGGTCAGAATCTGAGTGGGCCCCTGACAGGGACTGGGAGCCTGAGGAGGACAGGGGCATTGGTTTCTGTGGAGGCTAGGACCCGAGGAGGAGGAGGACTGAATGAGGTCTCTACAGGGAATGCCCGAGCGTGAGGTGGTGGGCACTCTGAAGAACAGCTCGAAGAGAAGACTGTTCAGCGTAGGGCTGAGAATCCAGGCCAAACCCCCAGCAAGGCATCTGCCCTGCCAAGCCAGCAGACTGAGTGTGAGCAGGTGTGCAACCTCACTTGACACCCACACTAGTCCAAGACCTGCTGCCAAATCTACACCTCGGAACACCCACAGTCCAGCCTGGTTGAGGTTCCTGGCTGAGCTAACTCTTTCCAAGGGGGAGAGGGAAGGGGCTCCACATCTGCAGGCTGGGAGGCAAATCCTGCCCCTCCCTGTGCCTCAGGACTTTGGGGGGTTCTGCTTTCCTACCCTGTAATGCACTAGAGGCTGTAGATGCTACCAGGATGTGCGAAAGGTGACACCATCGGGCACCCAGCACTCAGGCATCTCCCTGGAGCTGTGAGGAAGGAACAGGGTATGGGTTCCACAGGCCCGACTTCCCAGGGAACTTCAAGAGATTGCATGCAAGCTTTGCTTTGGTGCAGTCACTCTGACCTGGAGCAGCAGGTGAGACTCTTCCATGCCAAACCTGGGGAGGAACACACCTAAGCATGGTCTAGTTTCCTTGGTAAATATGGATCTGAACTAGCACTTCCTGTTTTATGGAGGGTGAGTCCTAACCAGCACTGTGAGGTAGTACCCTCAGTCACTGCCAACTTCTTTTGTGGCTCTGAGTAGATTCAGAAGGTTAGAGGCTCCCTGCAATAATTTAGATCCTGCTGCACACCAAGTAGGCCAGAATGCACGTTTACCTCAAACATGTCGGTGGGCAACTTCTAATTAATTATATGCTTTACCAGACGAGAAGCATGCTTCAGACACACAGAAATTCAGTTTTTACTTGGCTTTCTTTGGCAGTCGATTTGTCTTCCTAATCATGTCTTGCATAAACTACTATTAAAATGGATCTGCATTCTCAGAGCACAAGCTAGACGTGTGATGAAGGGGGTCAAGGTAGGAGGTGTGCAGGCCCTGGCTATAAAAACTGTCCAGAGACCATCACCAAGTCAGATAAACTAGGAGCTGACTCTGCCACCGCTAGTCGTCCAGATCATAACAAAACCATTGTGAGATCACGCACTCATTTGACAGATGCGATTAGAATCCCTCTTTTACAGAGAAGTAAATTGAGACAGGGTGCCCACAGGGTCCACTTCTGTGGTTAGTTTGATAACATTCCTATCGGAGGCCAGAAGGTGAATGAACTCCCCGTAGCTGACGGGGTGGGGCAAGAACCGCTAAGGAAGCCCCTGGTGGGAGACTGGTGCGGCGGTACCGTGCCCACCCTGGAGCTCCTTGCGGGCTAGGTCAGACGGAGGCACAGGTTGCAGCTACAGGGGTGATGGGGAAGGTGCTCATGTGCAGGGAACGTCTCTGGGAGGCAGAGGACTAACACGAAACCCTATTGTCCTCCAATGGGCAAGCGGTGGAGGCCTGGGTTTAAGGGAAAAGACAGGAAAAAGCGCCCTTGTCCTCTAACTCGCAAGCCTTCCTTGGCGCGCTAGAATGGCTCTGAGCTCCTACTCCTCCTCCTGGGAAAAGCAGCAACCCCGCGCGAGTCTAGCGGTTTCACACCTGGCCGGGTGGAGGGGGACTAAGGGGCTAAATCCGAACCCCGGGAAGGGCCAAGCCCCACCCGAGACTCGCGGGGCAGGGTTTGGAGCCCCGAGGGTGGGGACGTAGGCGGGACCTCCGGGCACCCAATCACCTTCTTTTCCCGCCCCTTTCCCGCCCCCCTTCCCTTCTCCACCAACGGCGCGCCGCGGTGGGCGGACCCTGTTACGCCAGCCGTTCCTGGTTGCGATTTTTTGCTAACCCCCCTTCTCTCTCTCCTTTTCTTTTTTTTTCTTTCCCTTTTTGTGAATGAAAAAAGGAGGTCGCGAGCAGTGCCCGGGACTGCAGCGCTAGGCAGGCGTC